AAAGAAAAGAACATTGATCTAATGCACGTTTCTTAGGGCAGAGTTGCCTTGAACATTGCTTAAATATGTGTATAGACTTAGCTCTGGGAATACCTTGACAAGTTCTTCCATCAGCAGCTATGGTGAGGCCTTTTGGGCAGGAGCAGTGATAGGTTCCCATGGCGTTGTGGCAGATGTGGGAGCAGGGATTCCCTGCTGTACATTCATCTTCATCTGAAAGAATAAACAGAAAGGTCCAATGAGCATGTAGTCTTCCTACTCTCTAAGAGTAAAGCTGTAAGAAAAGTTGGCTTAGAGATCAAGGAACTGAACCCAATACAAATGTACTAGGAAATGCGCAAAGTGCTACAAAATGGAAACACTAAAAAAATTAATCTAGGGTCCCCAACTTATATTTGATAGTGAATAGATGTTTAGGTTATTTCTAAAACAACAGTGATGACAGTTAAGATATAATGGCTATTTGCTGTGGTCTAAATGTTTAGCTCATTTCTTGCAAAATTTATGAGATGGGTATCCTCATTGTGCATAATAAAAACTAAAACAAAAAATACCGTGAGGAACAAAGAGGCCCAAACTCCCACAGGTTGTGCCTGGCAGAGCTGGGATTTGACCCTGAGCAGCACAGTATACAGACACACCACCTTTGGATCACTTTTCGACACTGAGCTGCCACTGTGAAGAAAGGCTCAGTGTGACAGATATGAGCTCCTCCAGCCACTAATGCAGCCGCCCACCGATCTGTGACTGCTGTGCTGGCCCTGGCATGTGGGAGGCCACAGTCCACACTGCCTCCTACCTCATTGATCAAGTTCAGAGCGTGGTGATTTAGACCTCATTATTGCTGTTTCACAGAGAGGCAACTAGCACCTCCAGGCTCCCCGCAGCCTGTATTGGTCACTTCCCAACAGCTGACTGAAGTCAAATTGAAAGAGCACCAGGGGCTGCCTATCTGCCTTACATTCATATCTAGTGCCTCCCCCCACCCCAAATTTGGAAGCTGAGTGATCTTAAGTACGCAAGCTTAACTTTATATCCCACTCTCCTCTCCTGTAAATGTGCATTCATAGGACAGTTGTGATAATTAAATATGCTAAGTGAAATAAATCAGAGGCTATAGAATGGATGCATTAGGTGGAATACAGGGAAACTAAAGGAAGGTTCAGGAAAAAGACAAAACTTGCAGGCTAATGATAGAGCTTAGGTATCCAACAGGAAAGGGGGAAGGAGAGGGGTCAAAACAAGGGGTGGGGAGGAGCACAAGGGACTGTGGTGGGAGAGCTTCAGGGACTACATCTGAGGGGAAAAATCAAATACTGTGCAAAAATGAATGATACAAGAAAATAAAAAATAAATATCAAAACTGTAAGAGAGGTGCATTAAAGGCTATCCATGTTACATTTTTATAAAAACAAAAAATGCATTATTTACATCTACACATACCAGAACAGAAGGGTCCAACTGAGTCTAAGGTGAACCCCGAGGGGCACTGGTTACTTCGATCTCCTACCGGAGAGAAAAGCAAGATTAACTGGCTTGTTAGAACAAGCAACTTGTTCCTTCCTGTACAATCCTCATGGAAGACATGCCAAAGATAGAACATCTAATGTAACAAACATAACAAGTGAAAACACCAGGAATGAGAAACATTCTTAAATGAATCAGAACTAGAGAATCACAGTCCAGAGACTGTTGGCAAGCAGCCATTACAAAATGATTTTCTGTTTGGGTTGTTTACATTAGTGGAAAGAAAAGCAAATCAAATTATTCTGTGCTAATGAGAAGGACCTGACATTGCTGTGCATACCAGTCATAACCACAGGCACAATCCTATTCTTCCAGTCAAGCCTTTCTCTGTTTGTTTTAGAAATAGACATGCTACTTCAGGCCATTAATATGTGTCAGTAAAAACTGAAGTTCTACTGAAGAGACCCTCTCCTTTTGTGGCTTCTTCACCATGTGCAGTGGGGAGCATCTGGGTCAAAGTCCCCCTGAGTAGCCAACAATTTTCCATGTAACTGAAGCAATGGGAAACAGTGTATATTAGAAAAATTTAAGTTAGCTGTTGAAACAAATATTAAGAATAAGGTTAATTAGACAATGACTTTCGTAGAAAGTAAATAACTGTCCTGATTAGTTTTGCAAATATTTTTCAAATACTAGTGATCTGCAAAAAGTTAATTAAACTCATTTTTACCAAAATAACCTCTCTTTCTCTGTCTCATACACACACTCACACACACATACCCCCACAATTGCTAATGTAATCAGTCTTTCTAAATGGAATTTTTCTTTAATTCATATTGGATCTTTTAGAAGTTATCTTAGATTTACATTTAATTTTAAATGTATTATTTATTTATTTATTAGGTGCACTTTATAGAGGGTGGTGCAGGCATCAGAAAATATCTTCGGTTCATTCCACTTTGGAGAGTATATGATGATAGCAATGCTTCCACCCTGTTTAAGGACATGAAAATGTTCACAACTGTTTCATATATTTTGGAGGGGATGGGAAAGCTACTCAAGGGAAACTATTTCCTTGAATAGAATAGAGGAGTGCTATTTCTAGGCATGAAAAATGGAAATAACCTTCTTGTCTACAACCTTAAACAGAAAATAGAGATCCAGGATCTCACTTTCTACACTAAGTGTGAAAATGATACTGAAAATATCCAGGTCTGCCTACATGGGAAGTGCATTGGGAATCTGGATGGGTGGGTTAGAAAATTCTGTAGTGTATTACTAAATGGTTATTGTATGGGAACTGACAGCCACACAGTACGGACTGTGAGCTTTGTGTGCTTATTTCATTTAACTCACAATTCACCTACACCCACCATATTCAATTTTCAGATGAGAAATTGAGACTGAGTCCTATGGAATTGGACTTTCAGTGAGGAAGTTCATGTAGTATATATAGAAACTGACTTATAATGATGCATATTTGAAGCTTAAATACTTCAACAAAATACTTTAGACAGTTAAATTAGACTTTATATAGTCTACATAAGCTAATATACAGTCTATAGATTGTATAGACTAATAATTATCAAACTTGACCGATCATAAAATCTCTTGGAAAACTTATTATAGATCCTTTAGTTCAGCATTCGACTGAGAATTACAAAGGAAGAGATCTGTGGAAATCTGTGTCTTAACCAGTTAAATTTCTTATAATTAATTCTAATAATTTAATTCCTTATAATTAACATGGAGCAGGTAACCCAGGTTTGGAACATGTTAAACTGCTTTTCTATCACTACTATATCATGCACATTCTCCTTTGTCACTGTTTACAATTATATTATTAATTCCTAGTACTGTGTCTGGTCCCCAGTAGGTCCTCACAAGTATTTTTAAATTAATAATTGAGCTATTTTTTAAATACTTGTTTAAGAACTTGTCATACAGCTCTACCATGATGTACATACTTGATACAGACTTACAGGATATTTATTAATAAATTTTTAATTATAAGTAACCTTGGGTGAAATTTCCTGAGCCCAATTTATCACTGGCCAGACTCAGAGTAAGATAAATGAAAAGACATGGGCATTTGAAAAGCTGCTGATACATACTGCCTTCCAGAAGTTTCCAACATATTTATACTCCCTGCTGCCTATGTACAGAGGTGTTTATCTCCTATGCCCCTTCAATACCTGTGACATTTTTCATTTTCGACAGTGATGGATTGGTATGGGATTCCACTGTTTTAATTTGTATTTCTTTGGTTTTTGATGACGGTAACTAGCTTGTTATATTTAGTTTATCATTATTATGTCTTCCTTTGTGAATTTTCTGTCATAGTCTTGATGAATATTTTTTCTACTGGGGTATTTGTATTTTTCTTGTTGATTTTTTTTAAAAGATTTATTTATTTGTGCATACAGAACTGGGGTACAGGCCAGAGGCTCAGGGGTGGTGAGAGGCTTCACCAGAGACAGAGTGGGGAACAGAACAGGCAGATCGACGAAGTACACTGCTGAGGGGAGCAGCCGGGAGACAGGAGAGCTGCACCTTGTGGGTCCCTCCCTGGTGGGGGAGGGAACTGGTGCTTCAGGGGCTGCAGACAGCCTCTCAGTGCTGTGTTTTAACCCACTGCGCCACCAGGGAGGGCCTTTTCTTGTTGATTTTAAGAGTCTTGTATATGTTAAAGTTAATCATAGTTGTCCATAACCTGTGATGCAAATCTTTTTTTCTTGGTGTATACTTCCCCATTATATTTCTTTCATGAATGTAAAATATTTGTAGTTATGTTTCAGAAATAATTAAAAAAAATAAACCCATTTGCTTGTAAAGATGCAAAATTTGTACTTGAAGAGATTTGTCTGTAAGTGACCAATCTTAACCTGTAGTTTCTAAATACCAAGTATACAGATTAGATACATTAGAATCACTTAGATACTGTGTTAAGAATGCAGAATCAAAGACCTTACCCTGAGCAAGTTAAAGCAAAACCTCTCTGCCCAAAAATCTACTTTCCTTAAGATCTCTAGGTGATATTATTGCACTGTGACCATAGTCAAGACCCAAAACAGAACATGGTGGGTGAGCTACTGAGAATGCAAGTCTGCCCCCTTGTGGTCATTCAAATCAAATTACAGGTAGACAATTGTAATTCACAGTAATAATGTCAACAATGGACAATTATGTCAGATGTAAGAGTGTCACAATTTGAATGTTAGTAAGGGGCTTTAAATATCCTGTAGTGTTTATTCTATAGGGGGAACCCAAATTCCCCAACAACACCCTCGTAGACATTATGAAAATCTTCAGTTTAAATAAAGCATATAGCATCTACAGGATTGGGTAGAAAATATACATGACTCTTCAAAAGTGGTTTCAATTAATCTAGTCTCAGATAATGTAAATTCATTTTTAATGAAAGTCTTGTACCAAGTTATATTTTTTAATTGCATGGAGCATAGGGAAAAGTGGAAACATAGGCTAGAGTTGAAAAATAGATACTATTGTGGAAGAAAAAACATAACACTTCATGCTTGTGACTTTTTCCTTGTTTTCAAGTGGCTTGGAGAAACAAATGTAGTACAATGAGGTGGTGGTGGTAACAAGAGGGTGGAGGAGAGAGGGGGCTATGGAACCCACTGCGTATGAGGCTTCACAAATCTTTGATTATCTCAAAAAGTGTGAAGACATACTCCTAGATTACTGTTCTCAAGTTTGACAAAGCTGTTCTGTTAGATAGTGAAGAAGAAACAGTCGTATGCACAACTGATGAAAAGAGTAAAAAGTGAAAATGAATTTCTAGTGTATCTTCTGAGCACCGCAAAACAAAATGACATTGTTTCAAATCTATTTGGATCTATTTGGGGAATACTAGCACACAGCAAAACACAATTCATAAGGCCAACAAAACATTTTAAGTGTTGGAGTTTGGGGCCCATACCTCAAAGTTTAAGTCATTCAAATAGTTAATGACCAAAGGGGGTTAATGTCCAAAATATATAAATAACTTATAAAACTCAACAACAAAAACGACCCAGCAACCGACTAACAATGTATAGAGGATCTGAACAGATACTTCTCCAAAGAAGACATACAGATGGCCCATAGGCACACAAAAAAATGTCATTCATCTCTTGCCATTATGGAAATGCAAATCAAGACCATGAGACAGCTCCTGTAAGAGTAACTATTATTAGAAAGGATTAGAAAAAAATATTGGTGAGGATGTGGAGAAAAGAAAACTGAACATTTGCAAACTGTTGGTGGGAATAAATTGTGCAGCCACTATGGAAAATAGGAGAATCCTCAAAAAAATGGAGAATAGAAATATCATGATTCAGCCATTCAACATCTGGGTATTTATCTGAAGAACATGAAAACAGTATTTTGAAGAAATCCTTATGTTTATTGAAGCATTATTCACAGTAGCCAAACATGGGAATAATCAGTGCTCACTGACAGATGACTGGATGAAGATGTGGTATGTATGGAAAATATACAAACAATATACATTACTAAGCTATAAACTAAGGTGAAATCTTGTCCTACAATGACCTGAGTGGACCTAGAAGGTACTATGCAAAATGAAGTAATCTGATGGAGAAAGACAAATGCAGTATGACTTCATTTATATGTTGTAGGTAATGAAACAAACAAGCAAACAAACAAAAACTCTTGTGTTATAAGAATAAAATGGTGATGAGCAGAGAGGAAGTGAGAATGGGATGGATAAATCAAGTAAAAGGGGTCAACGGTGTGGTGTTGAATAGAAATCAGAATTCTGGTGGTGAGTCTGATGTAGTGTATACAAACGGTGATTCATACACCTGAAGATTATATTGTGTTATAGACCAAAGCTCCTTCAAAGATAGTTACATGCAACTATCTCTCACCATCAAAACCCCACAGAGTATGGAATGTTAATTGTTGTGGTGTCTCTGATGGATGAGAAGGAGCTCTCACACTATGCACACATTAAAGAAAACCATGGCAGAGAGGGACCACGGGTTCCTGGCCTGTAGAATTCCATTTAGAAAATGGAATGCAGTAGAAACATTACCATTTCAAGAAATAAGAAATAACAGTTGGAATCGTGATCACCGCTGTGAAGTATTTAAAAGCTGCTTTTAAAATATGAAAAGTTTTTGGGAAGAGTTTAGATTAAGAAATACCTTTATGTTTCAGAATTTTAAAAACATCCTTGTTATGCATAAGATTTAGAAGAAGAAAAGACACTTTAATACCCAAAGAGAAATTATTCTGATTAACTCCATGTTTTCAAACCTCTGCATATACAGAGCATGACATTGACAACTCTGCTCTGCTCTATGAAGAAGCATATTAGTAACTATAATGAAGCAAAAGTCCAGTTGGGTTGACTTCACCAACCATGATACATAGACCACAGCCCTGAAAGACCTGGCTTTATTGTGTCAGCTCTACACCGTGATTTTATTTCAAATGATGTCAATGAAATTCTTTTCACCCTTTAGGAAGGATAAATGGCAAACAGATCTGAACTTTCCTATAACCAAATTACCTTTGGAGATTGAAGCATGGATTTTAAAACCCAAAGTCTCTTCTAACGGGTTGTAGTCAGATTCCACAGAGGATGCATGAAGTGTTTCTACCAAGAAAGGCATTTTGCCTCGTGACTCATCATAGAAAATGGTGTGGTTCCATGTATAGGGGACACTGATGCCATCAAGGGTGAACAGCCGGGTGGAGTGGGCATACAGCTGCCCAGGGCCTGTTTGGATGTAGTCTTCTGTGTAATCCTAAGGAGACAATACAGATTTGATGATCAGCATGGCTCATCCTTTTTTGGGGGGGTAGGGAGGGCAGGGAAGGGAGAACAAGAAAAAAAGAGCCTAGGGGTTCTATAGGTCTAAATGAAATTGTAGAGGACTGTGGGCAGGAAGTAAAGTCAAAAGCTTTCAATTATAATTACATTAGCTTTACTATTTTGCTGTCATAAATAATAGTTTAATAAGGGACTCAAATGCAAAGAATAAAGAAAACATGTGAAAGGGGGATTATTACTATTTATTAATTTCTGAAATACTTTAGTGAATGATAACCACAAATTTTTATGCAAGAGTTACCATTTTCTTTGGAGAAAAATGGAACAAGTGTCTTAAATAACATAGCCATGACCTCAGTCCTGAAAAGCAGTTAATAAAATTACTAAACGTTATGAAGACTTGTCCTGGAAAACTTTTAAATTAAGACCAACTCAGCATCTGTAACTTTCGTGACTTAGACATTTACCCCCACAGAAAAATAAGGGAAATAACACAAGTCTCTGTGTTCTGTGAATCTTTGACTCATGTTCTTATTATCTTAGTTCCACCACATAGTGAAGGTGAGTTACCTTTATAGCAACTTCAGCAGGTGACTGTAGCTGTAAGACATAACCATTCACAACAATATCCAGCAGCAAAACACCATCAGAATCCAAGCCACGGGCGATATGAGTCATCCGTAAGACTTCCCCTGGGAATTGCAAGTCATTCATTTTAATAAGAAAACACACAAAATTTGTGCTTTAGATGAACATAATACAATATGTACATGCATAATGACATACACCGAAATCTATATAATTTTAGAAATCAAATTCTGTCAATAAAAATGTAAAAAATAAAAAAATGGATTGTGTAAACAGAGCAGATTTACATACAGCAATGCTATTTCAATTCAAACTGAATAATCAAAAATAGGAGAATTGAATTTGAAGCTATTCCCCAAATTAAAGAGTTAGGCTCATTGGATTGTTTGTTCTAAAACTTTTTTTCTGTAGCAAAAACTAGCATATATTATGTGAAGGAGTGCACAATTTAAACTCACAAGTAATAGCAAGGTAGTTCTATAGAAGCGGATTGCCTGGGAAAGGACAGAGCTTCCTGGGGCAGACAGGCAATGATTACAAGTGTGGCCACTAGACTTGTTCTTCCTGCTTCTTCAGGAAGTACTAAAAGGGCATCTTAGTAGCGGTGGGGCATCAAAAGGCTCACTTGTGTGTCTTTCAGGTTGACTGAAGGTATGTACTCCCTTGGTCAATCTTCCTTAAAGACAACTGCTGTTGGAACTTCCTACCTTTGAAGATGCTAGAAATGGAGGTCTACAAAACCTGCATGTACTTAGCAAGGGCCATGAGCAGTTAATACATTAAGACTAAGGATAAAGCAAAAAGTCTTTAGTTTTGGTTGTATTATTGATTTCCATCCTTCTAATAAAGAATTCCTAAGGGCATCCTAATTGAATCTCAACTTCAATGTCAAAAGTCTTGAATCATTAGTAATAACTCCTTTTTTGTTTTTTTGTAAAGATTTATTTATTTGTGCATACAGAACTGGGGTACAGGCCAGAGGCTCAGGG